ATAAAGTGTAACGTTGACCCCTCGCAGTGTCGATAAAGTGTAACGTTTTACTGACCGTTCAGTAAATTATAACCTCTTCCTCTCTCCTCCTCCTCATGCTTTTCAACCCCTGGTTCATTCACCTGATCTCCTTCTGATCTCCTTCTGATCTCCTCTGCAGTCGGACCAGCAAGGCGTTCAGCAACAAGCAGACGGTGAAGCATTGCGGCTGCACCGAGGTCTACCGGGACTGTCTGCAGACCTTCCTGCCGGCTCTGAGCTGCCCCGTCCAGCGCGGGACGCTGCGCAGCTCGGTGCGCTCCTTCCTGCACCGCATGATCATCTGCATGGAGGAGGAGGTGCTGCCCTTCGTCCCCGCCGCCTCCGAGCACATGCTGAAGGACTGCGAGGCCAAAGACCTGCAGGAGTTCATCCCGCTCATCAGCCAGATCACCGCCAAGTTCAAGGTACGCAGAAGAAGAAGAAGAGAGGAACAGTAACGGAAACAGACGTTGCTCTGGTTTATTGTAGTGTGTTACTAAACAGATGAACGATGAGTTGTGATTTAAAGAGACGGTGATGAACGGGTTTCCTGCTCCTGGTCTCTGCAGCAGCAGGTGTCTCCCTTCCTGCAGCAGGTCTTCATGCCGCTGGTTCTCGCCATCTTCGGGGTGTTGGCCCGGCCGGCCGAGGACAACGACCAGGCGGCCGCTCTGGAGAAGCAGATGCTGAGGAGGAGCTACTTCACCTTCATCCAGACCGTCGCAGGGAGCGGCATGAACGAGGTGATGGCCAACCAGGGTGAGTGTTCATCTCCACAGCTTCTGCTGGAAGCAGCTTCACAGATATCCACTCATTTAACATATGTTAAATATAACAGTTTGTTTAATCTGGACACAAATGTGTTAAAGCAACAAAGAAGAAACGGATTAAATGTGCTCATCTGTGAGCTTTTGAGGGGCAGGCTAGCAGTTTCCCTCTGCTTCCAGTCTTTATGCTAAGCTAAGCTAACCAAGATAACATCTAACTCTCAGAGAAGAAAAGAGGTGTCAACTATTCCTCTAGACGTTCTACTGTAGATGATGTCATTTTAAATGGAGTCTGGTCCTGAAAACACGTTAAATCTGCTCATTTTTAACTGTTTTCAGGGAAACGTTTCCCTCCAAACACAGCTGAGGGGATTTGATCACATGACTTGTTTTGTTGTCTTCAGGAGCAGAAAACATCGAGCGCGTGGTGTTCACCATCATCCAGGGAGCCGTGGACTTCCCCGACCCCATCGCCCAGAAGACCTGCTTCATCATCCTGTCTAGGCTGGTGGAGCTGTGGGGTGAGAGGGACACCTGTAGAGAAGCATCAGAACCAGGTCTTCAGATCCAGTCTTTGTCTTCATGTCCTGTTGTCCTCTGATTCAAACCTGCAGGAGGAAAAGACGGCATGGTGGGATTCCCCGACTTCGTCTACAAACACATCGTTCCCGCGTGTTTCCTGGCTCCTCTCAAGCCGACCTTCGACCTCTCGGATGCTCAGACGGTCCTGGTGAGTTCACCAGGCTCCACATTCAACCCGTTTCAACGAAACAAGAGTTCAGTTCAGCAGCAGCTCTGTTGTGTTTCAGACGCTGTCCGAGTGTGCACTCACGCTGAAGATGATTCATCTCAAACAGGTAAAGAGATCTTTTATATGAGGTGTTGAGATGTTCCTCTTGTGTTTGTTTCTTCCTGTTTTGAAGTCGTGTTTGTCTCTCAGGGGCCGGAGTTCATCCAGTTCCTGCAGCAGGAGTATTTACCTTCGCTGCAGGTGTCGCCAGAAATCTCTCAGGTGAGACAGTGCACCGACACGAGACCTCAGTTCTTTATCATAATAATATTCAGATGGAACAATCGCGTGTTTCCTGGTTCACGGTCGCTGTTTGAAACACAACTAAACATTGTAACATTTAATGTTAAAATACGTCAACGTCGACTTATTTTAACTTCATACGAGACGCGAACTTCTGTCTTCTGGGTCAAAGTCGTGTGTTTGTTAGTTTCATGAGAAACGTATTTGTGATGCACGAAAAACAAACGTAGAACATTTCAGAATAAATCCATAAATCAGATGTTTACGTTTAGAAGACGTCGGTGTTTTAATCTTCTACAAAATGTTTATTTATTTTACTTTGAAGTCAGTAAATCTCTTTATTTCTGTCTCGTGTTTTTCACATATGTTGATTTAAATGTTGTAACTGTGACTCATGATTTAGATTTATTATCTCGTATAATTGTAACGTATTAAATCAAACATTTGACGTCTTTATAATTGTTAAATTTAAATTCTGACTTTAATAAACGTCATCATTTGCAACTTGTTTTATTGTAGTTTGTTACTAAATAGAAAGAATAAACGGATGAAAAGAGAGCGTTCAAAGAAACATAAACACACAACTTAATAACGATAACAAGATTCAGATGGAACCGTTTCTTCAGTTTCTATATTTATATATTTCTATATTTTACAGGAGCTTTGTCAAGTTCTTCAGCAGCCGGACGTCAAAGTCCTGAAGATCTACATTAAGGTACGATTGTTTAATTATTATATGTATCATCAGTGATGTGATTTGATTGGTTCTGACAGATTATTGTTGATCTTCTTCACGTCTCTTCAGGCGTTCTTTCAGCGAGCCAAGCTGTAGGAGGTGAAAGTGGAGGTTCACGTCACAGGAAGTGGTCGCACGCGCAACCAGAACAACACAACAGGGACCGTAGCATAGGAGCTGCTTTTTGCACTTAACGAGTGGCGGAAGTCCGTCTGGAGTCGGGACGGACGGTCGAGGGTTCGAAGCCGAGCCGTCCACGAGGACTGAAGGAGCTCGACTGAAGCTCAGACATAAACGTGGAGACGAAAGTAAAAGTCTGTGAGAGAGAAGCGTAAATATCCTGAAACGAAGCTTTAAACACATTTCAACACGTTTTCTTTGGACGTTTCACACGATGGACAGAGAGACGAGGGCCGAGCTTCTCTTTGATCCGGAGGGCTCGGTATGTGGCGTGGATTTGATTTGATTTGTTTTGAGGAATTGATTTTGAGTTTGACGTGAAGCTGCTTCTTCCTCCTCTGTAGTATTTTACTAAAACTCTGAATTTACAGCAGTTATTATCAGTTTGTGTTCCTGAGGGAATATTTTGGATTTCCTGGAAAAACGTGACTTTTAATTTCAGATGGAAAATAAAATGGAGGAACAAAGATGTAAATAAGAGAATAAGATGTTAGAAATGTAAATACAGTTCCGAGGTTTGCTTCTTTATCTTCATCCTCATCTGGAAGATATGTATGGAAGATCATTAGTGCCCGAAAATACAACGTACAGAAACACTCATTAAGTACAGATTATGAGATGGTCTTACGTACTCCTAAGAGTGAATTAGGTTCATACGTGATTTTGTGTTTTATAATTGTGACTTCAAAAGTTATAAGTATTATTGTTGACTTGCTATTGATTTAGTTTTCATATCTTTGACTTAATATCTCATTTTTTGACCTTAATTGTGACGTTAAAAGTGAAAATTTACACGACAAAGACGTATTGTAGGTCAAAATAAATTAACTACGGAGGCGAGGAGGAAGAGAATATAATATCAGAGAAAGATCTCTGAGAATAAAGTCGAAAAATTACAAATTACACGATTATTTATGTCGTTAAAGTTTGATGTGGCATCACAAACTTTATTTTCATTAATCATGATTTTTAGTCACTTGACTGATTATTCTGATCTCATGAGTATTTTTTTAAATATATTTTGATTAAGTATCTTAATTTGACCTTTTTTAAAATCTCATAATTGTGAAAGTTTAATCTCAAAATATTGATTCGTGACACAAGTCAACAGTTTGATTTATAATATTGAGTATTTTTTTATTTACATTTTTATTTTCTCGGCGTTAATGAGCTTCCATAGAAACACAAACATGATGTTGTATTCAAGCATTTGTGACAATTAAGGATTGATTAGTTAATCGATCGATTGATGATACAAACGCTTCACTGATCGATACTGTGAAGCAGCTGAAACGAAAACCAATCAGATCGAGACAGAAAAAAAAGATCCGGTAACTTTGTTCAAATCGCTGACGTTCATTTCTTGTACTTTTGTCTGATTACAGCTTTAACAGTTCTCACATTAACTTATAAAAACAAAGTCTAAGTGTTTTACATGTTTTCTTATTGAGGAACAAATATAAAGTGTCATCAGTAATCTCCTAAAACAGTCGCTCAGCGTAGCTTTTAATCAAATAAAAATTAAATGCTGCATTTGTTGGCGACTATTTTCAGCGGCGGATTTAGACGATATTTGTTGACGTGAAGAAACTTGTAGAATATCTCCAAACTTACTCATTTAAATATAATAATGAACCGTTTTCTCAAGCGGCAACATGTCGGGATGAATTTATGTCGTTAACGTGAAATTTAAAAAGCTGAAACGTGAGTTTAAAAGTCAGTTAAACTTATATCGTGACATTGGAAACTGATCCCGTCGTCTTAAGAGTTAAAACTCCAGTAAGAGGACCTTTAGTTAGACGTTTTTTGTCAAACTGATAAGCCAATGTTGGTTGTTTTTTTTTCAGAAGTTCCGCTTTCAGAAGTGGTTAGCTTAGCATGACTGCCAATATCTTGAGAGGCTTATTTTCTTTCTGAGTGTAAACTGACTAAGTGGATATCAATTTCATGTCTGTGTGTTGCTTTAAGACAGGAGCTGGAGTCAGGATGTGGTTAGCCTAGCTTAGCATAAAGACTGGAAACTGCTAGCCAAGCTACATCAAAAGAGAAATAATAATTCACTTTAATGTAACTCCAAAAGCAGCTCACCGATTAGCACTTTGTATCTTGTTTGTTTAATTTGCACTCAAACATCAATGTAAAAACAGTTTGAGGTTTTAGGGGCAATTCTAGAGCTATTTCGTGCTAAGCTAGGCTAACCACATCCTGTCTGCCGATTGATTTCCACCAGATCGTCTCACACGGAGAAATCTGCATTTTTATCACCAAATCTCAAACTCCTCCCTCTAAAGTTTAGGACTTTGTACAAATGTTAATCTGTAAACAAACACTAAACCTGTTTAAGTATATAAATATAAATTAAGTCAGATCAACTTGAATGACGGATATTTTTACGGCATCGTATGGACATTATAGGTCAATATTACAAGATTCACTAAATTCAGAATTTGAGATGATCGCAGAATATTTTTCCTCTTTAATCTCGGAGAATATCAAAGTTTCTTCCTCGTACATTTACCTCCTCGCTCCATATTTCACTTATTTGTTTACGCTGTCGTGGATTTCCCTCAAACACCTGAAGTGATATTTAATCACCGTACCGTCGTAGTATTTCACCCACTGAAGAAGAATCGGCTGTTCTCAAAAAGGACAAATAAGAAAACAGTTGTTTCCGCCGATTTTATTTGAATTCATCTTTAACGAGTCGAGGTTTGAGAATAAAACTACTTTGTTCGTTGCTGGTGAAATGTGTTGGAACCGAGATATTATTTAGTTTTGATGGAAATAAAATGTTTACTAATCATGACGTCTAACAAACGAGTCTTTATTCCTCCGTTCATATTAAATATTAACTTCCTAACATGGAATCTGTTATTAATGCGACCTCTATTAGGTGATTATGAACTTTGATTTCTAACCAGCCGTCTAAACAAATCACTTGATAATTTATTCATAGACAGATAAACAGAACAATAGAAGAAGTTTCAATTCATTTGAAAAAAAGAAACCTTTAGTTAACTCACAATTTTCTCAACTTTACTCTTTTCATTCATCGTTAAGCTGTCGTTAATAACTCTTCCTGTTCAAATAATCACGTCAATAACTCTCAAACATAAGATTTACTCGACTATTCCTCTTTTAATTTGAAAACCATAAACAGGAAGTGTCCAGTTCATTGGCGGTAGTTTAACAGCACTTCCTGTAACGGAGACATTTTAAAGGTGAATTAATGTGGAAAGAATTATGAAGGAAAGTCTTTATTTGGATCACGAGTTTTCATTCTCATTTTCTCTTCAACATAAATTCCGTTACAAAACAAACAACAAAAAGAGCGGATTATCTTCTGCTCGTCGAGAACCACAGAAGAAGAATTCTTCCCGTTTAGTGTAAATAGTCTTTAGTCGTCTTCAGCCTTTAATCACGGCGATCGGTCGCAGTTTGATCGCCTTCTTACTGATTCCAGCGTCGTGACACGTGTTCACGACGTCCGTCACGTTTTTGTACGATTCAGGAGCCTAAAAATAAAATGAAACACCAACAAACAATCTCAGATCATCTGCATACAGACGGCTTTTACTTCTAAATGACTTCCTGTTAACACCAGACCTTGAATTAAACTGTTGCCACGAGCCAAATAAAAAGTATTTGTGTTGCCTCACCTCCTCCATCACCAGTTTGGGTGAAGCCACTCGGATGGCGATGCCCTGGTCGGCCAGTTTGTCCAGAACGTCCTGGAAGTCCAGGTTCCTGCGGGACTTCGCCCGAGACAGAGCGCGACCCTGAAAACAATTATGTATAATAAAAAAGGACCAAAGTCACCGATCGATGCAGGTTATCGATCCTGTGTCCTGTTAAAATACTGATTCTGAGAATAGTCTGGTGAAAATATCCTAAATATAAACGTAGACGTAAACAAACTCTTCAATAATCAATATATTAGGATCACGTGGTGAAAGAAATGATTCTTTTCCTCAGCTTTTATAAACAGTAAGAACAGCTTCTTTTCTGAATAAGGTTATATGCTCAATACTGAATATTTTGAGCATATAACCTTTTACTCTATAGAGCGGTGAAGTCCCGCCCCTTCCTGTTGACATGGGACGTTATTTCAGAAATATGTACGACAATCAACTGCGAGACAAATATATTACTTTGTGCAATGAATTATACAAAATCTCAATTTAAAAGAGTTTTGCGTGAAATCTCTCGTCTTCTACAAATGACGTCTTTTTGCGACAATGCTACTTTCTTTACGTGCAAAACTATCTTTTGAAGTTGACAAACATGTTAAATTCAAACGGGATCAAGAAGTTATTCGTCTCTCGCTGTATTTTATTTCTGGTCAACAGGAAGGGGCGGGGCTTCCCCGCTCTGTATTACATGTAAATATCGTACCAGACTTCTTCCTAACATGATTGTTGTTGTTTTAAACAAAGACTCATACCGCTCCGTGACAGGTGGTGCCGAACGTCTCCGTCATGCCTTGCTCCGTCCCAGTGAGGACGTAGCTGCAGGTTCCCATCGTCCCTCCGATCAACACCGGCTGACCCGTGAGCTGAGAAACAACCAGACGGGTCAAATCAAACGTCCCGTTAGCGGCTCTTTAAAGGCTCGCTGGGCGACGGCCGGGTTACCTGGTAGTCCACGGGGATGAGCGGGTGGTGGGGGGGGAAGGCCCGGGTGGACCCTTTGCGATGGAGCAGCAGAGTCTTCTGCCTCCCGTCCACCATGTGCTCCTCCACTTTGGCGATGTTGTGAGAAACGTCGTAGATGACGTGCATGTCCAGGTCGTCGGGCGTCGTCACAAACACTTTAGAAAAGGCCTGAAAACAAAACAAGTGACGTCACTTATGAAACTCTACAGAGACTTCAATGTGATGAATAGTTCAAAGCTTCATACGGATACTAGCTTTACGTGTCCCAGGTGTCCCTTACGTGTCCCAGGTGTGCTTTACGTGTCCCAGGTGTCCCTTACGCGTCCCAGGTGTCCCTTACGTGTCTCAGGTGTGCTTTACGTGTCCCAGGTGTCCCTTACGCGTCTCAGGTGTGCTTTACGTGTCCCAGGTGTCCCTTACGTGTCCCAGGTGTGCTTTACGTGTCCCTTACGTGTCCCTTACATGTCCCAGGTGTCCCTTACGTGTCTCAGCTGTGCTTTACGTGTCTCAGGTGTGCTTTACGTGTCCCAGGTGTGCTTTACGTGTCTCAGGTGTGTGCTCACCTGTCTGGTGAGGAAGGTCATGGAGGAGCGGTTGACCCAGGCGTAGTTGCCTGCAGCAGCCATCCCCTTCAGGTAGTCCTGTCCCTCCTGAGAGGTGATGCGAGCGCAGGCCAGCTGACGGTCGTTCACCGTGATCTTATCTCTCTTCATCGCCTTCTCCATGGCAACCAGAGCGTCTGTCAACAACAACAACAATAATATTATGTATTCATGGTGTTAAGAAGGAGCCTCTGACCTCCTCCTGAACTTTATGAATGTTGTGAGGCAACGTCCTACCTGTGGCCACCTGGTGTCCGAGTCCTCTGCTGCCGCTGTGGATCATCACACACACCTGGCCTTTGTGGTCGATGCCCATCTTCTTGGCGGCGTAGTCGTTGTAGATCTCGTCCACCACCTGGATCTCAGCGTAGTGGTTTCCTGCTCCCAGAGTCCCCAGCTTCAACACAACAGGTGAGCGGTTTGTATCCACAGGTGATTTAAGAGCGGGTGTGCATGAAGACGCTGATATACCTGCGGCAGGCCTCTCTTCTTGGCCTTGGAGGAGACTTTGTTGGGGTCGGCCTGCAGCATCCTGCCGTACTCCTCACAGTGCTCCTTGTCCTCGGCCCACGCGTACCCCTCCCTCAGAGACCAGTCCACGCCCATCTCCAGAGCCTCCTCCAGGTCCCTGTGGGGGGAACAGGGAACACAGGTAGACGGGTGACCCGGGTTAACAGGTAAACAAAGCTTTCTCTCCTCTGACCCGGGTCCCTGAGGGCCTCCTTACTTGGCCCCCATAGGGATGACTCCCTTGGACCCGACCCCCACTGGGATGTGGTCGAACAGCGCCTGGGCCAGCTGCTCCTTCACCGGCTGGACGTCCCCCTCGTCCAGGTTGGTCCTCAGCAGACGGACGCCACAGTTTATGTCAAAACCAACACCGCCTGAAGGCCACACGGACATTCAGACCTTCATCACGAATAAACTTAGTCTATTGAAACACTATCAGGTTAAAGTGAGAAGTCATGATTGTGAGATACTTAAATACAACAGCCATAGAAGCAGCTGGTTACAGATGGGGATGTGCTTCCACAGACAGGTGTGCGTCTCTCACCTGGAGACACGACGGCGTCCGGGTTGCTCATGTCGAAGGCGGCCATGTTTCCGATCGCAAACCCGTATCCGGAGTGGACGTCTGGGAGCCCGATGGACCTCTGAGGGACGAGTCAACGAGTCAGTTTCGGCTCTGAACCTTCATTATGAACGACATCATGCGGTCATGTGACTCACGTGTACGATCCCCGGCAGCGCCGCCACGTTCCCGATCTGTTTCATGGCGGGAAGGAATCCACCGAAACCTGAAGGACACAAAGAAACACGACAACATGAAGTGAAAACTCCTGAGACGATGTCACAGAGACGAAGAGGAGAAGAGATGAAGAGCAGCCGACCTCCTCCTCGACAGGCGTTACGGAGCTCCTCAAAGATCAGCTTCTCCAGAGACTCGTTCACGTAGAAAGTTCCTTCAACCTGGAGGAGCGACAGGAAACCATGTTAATCAATCAATATATTATCATGACAACGTGCCATTTTATGGTCGATATATACGGAGACATCAACGCTAACGTTTTTAGAATCGCACGGAGAGAAAATACTGATTCATTTTATTTATTATACGTGTGTGTGTGTCATCAAAATGTAATAAAAGAAGTAATCTGTCTATCAATAGAAACAACTTAAACAAAAATCCAATGTAAGTAATTATACTCTGCTGAATCCAGTTAGAATAACTGTTAATTATGATTCAGATTGCCTAGGTAGCCAAACTGTAGATTATATTTGGATTTATTTTTAGTGTCGTCACATCTTTAGGCTCCTCCCTTTAATAATTCGGCTCACATTTCACAGCTAATAGTTGCGTCACTGAGCTGCGTCAGCGGGTTAAACTTTAGTTTGCGGCTGATTTCATTGAATCTAATGACGTCATTGAGTTCATTATTGTCATGTTTTCAGATGTTCAGAGTTCGTCTACAGAACTAGCCGACATATGCTAACCAGCTAGCCACGCTGACGGCTAACAGTGCAACACCAGCAGAGTCTCACCTGCATGTTGGGAACGAACCCTTTCTTGATCCTCCAGCAGTTGCTGCTGATCTTGTCGAGGTACTGCAGCTCATCGTTGTAGCTGCGACTCATGGTTCCGATCACAAGAAGGTTTAAAGCTGCTGCTACACCGGCGGACAGGCAGCGAGTCACAGCGCTACGGAAGCTCACAAGCGTTTTGACAGGACAATGCGGTTGGTAATTTCTGCATGACTCATTAAAATGTCACTTTTAACGTAAAAGTAAAAATATGATTTCAGATTTAAGAGGCCGTTAATGTAAATTTGAATGAGTCATTAATTAAATGGTGTTAAAATATCATTTTTTCTTCGTGGGCAGGAGTATAAGCTTTACAATAAACTGATTCGCTTGCCGTAGTTGTAGTCAACCAAGTTTAGATAGTCAAACGTATCAGACGCTTCAAGTAGAGCCGGATGTTCTGCGACTGACCTTCCAAACAAAAGCATGAACTATTTTCTCTTTTTTTTTTTAAGCTATCACATTTAACACTAGTACAATTTATGGTCACCATGTTGATCACACTCATCACACAATTACACCTGGTTCCCTGAAGGAAGTTCACGAGCCATAAGTTAAGTATTTATTCACTTTTGCTTTACGAGACGTTTCCAAAAAAGGTTTTATTTTGAAATGTTGTACTTTGAGAACAGGAACCGGAAGCTTTAGCGGGTTGACGCCGCTGTCTCGTTGCTGCTACTCTGTTTACAGATTGAGAGAAATGTTACAAACGACCCGGATGTAACACGTTAACTCATCATGTAAGTGTTTTTATTTATATTTTTATCTCCAAACCGTCGGTTAAACGAGTCAACTAGCTAACTAACCTAGTTAACGCTAAGTTAACTAGCAACGCTTCGTTGTTACGCAACAACTTAAAACGGTCAGAAACGAAAACGAAACGTTTCATTTCTTCTTCTACAAATTATTTAATGTCAAACTCCTGCTGGATTCACTTAATATCTATATTATTTTATTTATTTTGTAATAATGTGTCTTATGTCTTATTCAGCAGGATAACTTTCCACCAAACTCCATTAACTTCCCGTTACATCCTAGACGTGTTGAAAGTGTCTCTCTGTGGGTCTGTTCCCTTTAGTAACGATGAAGTTATTGTTTAAATATATAGTGAATGACTTCATCTGTTCGCCTGCAACATGAAGCTTCGTGTTCGGCTCCAGCGTGTCACCAGCAGAGTGGAGTTACTGGGAGCAGATCCCAGCCTGAAGGAGCTCAGGGAGCTCATCGAGGAGACGCTGCTGTCCTCTCAGGGACTCGGGTCAGATATACATATTGAGATTATGATATTTATCTTCTTTCTCTCTTGTTTGTGTAAGATAGAAACATGTTTAAACGTTTTGTGTTCCAGTGCAGACACACAGTTCAGTTTGTCTCTGAACGGCTCAGAGCTTCTTTCAGACTCCGGTCAGACTCTGTCGTCCTGCGGCATCGTCTCCGGAGATCTGATCTGTGTCGTCCTGCCGGAGTCTGCAGCCGACAGAACGACCAGCAACTCACAGAACCAGCAGAACCAGCAGACTGCTGCCATGACATCTAACCAGGTAAGTGACTCAACCAGGAGACAACCTCCGGTTCTTTAAGTTCTTCAAAGCTTCATGTGTTAAAGCTGCATTCTCTCTAGTGTCCACCAGGGGGCGACTCCTCTGGTTGTATAGAAGTCTATGAGAAAATGACTACTTCTCTCTTGATTTATTACCTCAGTAAACATTGTAAACATGAGTTTATGGTCTCAATCTCTAGTTTCAAGTCTTCTTCAATACAGCATGATGTTCATTTAGTACATTATGGTCCATTTAGAGTCAAACAGACCATAAAGCAGGGGATGCTTTAGGGCGGGACTACACGCTGATTGACAGGTCTCTAATAGACCATAAAGCAGGGGATGCTTTAGGG